TTTTTAAATTTGTATATATATATTATGATGCAAAAGAAAGTATGGAGTAAATACTAAAGACATGACACTGCTTGACAGAACACCTTCAGTAGCTTACTGGTAAGAAGCTTCAATGTTTTACTTGAGGTTACGTGTTCGACCCTTGGCTTGAACCCTCAACGCCATGCTTAAAACGGAGAAACTAATACAACTAGCCAACTTCATTGAATTTAAAAATCTGCTCACATAGTATTTAAGTGCAAGTTTGACTAGCAATCAATAAATGCTTTAATATTGTTGTGAAATTAGATTACTCGAACACCTTAAAATTCTAAATTTGAAAAAATTATTCATTTATTTGAGATCCACTTGAGCTTCTAGCTGGCTTTCTAAACTTTCTTTCAACCTCTCTCGTTTGGGAAGAAAAGGCTGATTCTTTCATGCTCGTATACCAAGAAACAATTGAAAAAAAGTTTTCATTTTACAATTTGTAATATTTGGAGATTACAGTTGCTTTGCAGTTTTTGAAGATTAAATGTGTTGCGTGATGCTCTTTTAATTGTAAGTTCTTTTTATATCCCCTTTTTAGTTGGAATTTGTAGAAAACATTTATCAATTTTTCTTGGGGGGGATTGGATTCTATATAACTAAATTCATCTACGGTTCATTTGAATTTATATTTTACTTTGTAATGTATCTGGAACTTAGTTTTCTAAAATATGACGTCACTGTAGTATTCATTTTTTCACTTCTTTAATGTCGACACTGCTTGCGAGAAATACTGCGTACGCCACGGAATACATATGTACATCAACTCTGAAATTTGATCCTTTTTCCTCAAAGGACTCCTTATACCAGTCAGGAAACAATTCTATACTTATATTTAAACAATAGTTGCCAAAATGCTGGATATTCTCCTAAACAAAAAAACTAACTGTTTCCAATGCTCTCTGCAAACGGCATGAATTATGGAGTGATAAAAAGAGAGCCTGCCAATAGAAAGACTGACCTTTAAATTCTGAGGTGTAAGTATACCCACCCGACCTGAGCATAACTCCAAGAAGACAACCTGTCATCAACAATCCAGTATAAATCAGACTGACATTCAACACAAAAAAGAGAAAAATATAGCATGCACCACAGGCGATTGTTAGAAGTACGACCTCTGGTTTCAAGAAATTGATTACTGCTTCAACTTCTTGGCAGGATTCCTGTAACCATGCATAGTAAAGTTAAGATGATTATACACCCTTTATAACTCAATCTGTATTACATCATCAGTTTCTTTAATATGAACAATTAACTGGATTAAAGGTCAATATTTATATATACGTCACATATAAAGCTTCAAACTTTATCAATCTAAGCAAGATAAAGGAGAAAGTAAGAAAGACAAAGTATGAAAATAAAGAAAGTACATATTCATACACGCTTAGTTTATAACTTTATATGATGAGGCATGGGAACTATTGCCTTATGTCACGTCTTCTACTGTTATTTAACATCTTAACTTCAAGAAGTGTCCATCCTATTCGTCACCAGCTGATGTTGAGTCAAATATAAGACTAAACAATATCTCATCAGCAATGGTCACAAGATATCTAATAATAATCCTATGTTGTTAGAGCATCATTTCAGTAAACTGTTATTGATGATCTACTAATTCCATCTCTGCTACTGGGAGGCTGGATTATACTAAAATTAAATACTAATCTTAAGAAGCCTTGTGCATAAAAAGTACTTTTAAGTGTGAATACTAAAATGCAATTAAAGAACAGTAAATTTACCGAAGAAACGTGAGCAGTGCCAACAACATACACATCGCAAATGCCTCCATTGGCAGAAGAATCACAAGTTAGCATCATTACACTCCTCGACAATTCCTCCGGCAAAACCTTCCTTTCATATCCTTCTCCTTCACCTTCCACATTCGCCGAAATTACCTCTTCGATTCCTTGCTCCTCCACAACACTCGCTTCCGAGCCTTCCGAATTCAAATTAGCAACTTCTTCATCAACGTGAACAAAATCCTCCACCACCGACGCCGTCATCGGACTAGAACTCATCTCCACCGGCATACGCCTCCCGGTGACCGCCGAGTAGGAGGAGGAAGATTTGCACTTCACGCAGATCGATGAAAACGTAGGACTTACGACGGGATATTTAACGGGGAGAGATTTGACCGGGAAATGACGAAGGTGCGGTGAGCCGGTGAATGAGTTGAACCGGTTCGACTCGGCCGAGTTGAGAAAGGTGAGTTGGCGAGTCAATCGACGGAGCATGAAGATTTTAAGATGTAACCGTTTTTATTTTACTGTTTTTATATACCTTGCTTTGGACACAAGAGATCATGACACGTGGCAAGATGGTGTGACTCTAATTGTTTGCTTTCTCATACCTTACTTTTATTGCTAAGTTTCCTATGTTATGACTAGGATCGTTTGATATGCGTGATGAGATATTGAATCTACACATCATAACTTAAATCGTTTAGTATGCATAATTGAATTTGCACATTATAACTTTGGATCATTTGATATGTGTAATGAGATAGAAAATAATGTATAAAATTTATACATTAAAATTTTAATTATTGATAGAAAATAATAATTCACCAAAGGGCATTTTAGAATATTTTTAATCCTTTTTCTTTAAACAAAAGATAGTGTTGGATCATTAGCACTAAATAAAGTTATAAAATGTTTTATTTCGTAAATTTTAATTTAATCGGGCAGATATGCAAATATTGAAGACCAATGAAAATAAAAGGTATTTTATTTAGAAAAAAAATAACACTCTACATAAAGTGGTAGTATCCATCTATAGCCATCCGTAAACTATTGAGGTGGTATCCAAAATTAGGGTTCTGAGAACTCTGGATTTTGCTCGGTTGTATCGATCCGTTTTCTTGTGAGCTGAGAATTTCTCTGCTGCAAATACAAATCCCAATCCCAATAATTTTGTATACAAAATCGATGATGGTGGAAAGGAAGCTGTATAAAACGAAACTATGCATGCTTTATCAGAGAGGTCGTTGTCATCGTCAGACTTGCTCTTTCGCTCATGGCAATGCTGAGCTCCGTCGCTTCTCCGGTTCCGGTGGCGGTAATTTTGTTATTTCTCTATATTTACTTGTTTAACACTTGCCATATACAGCTATACTTCGTTTTACTTCGCCCATGTTCTGTTTTTTTTTCTTTTTTATGATGATGACTGTCAGTTTTTGTGCACCTCGATTAATTCTACAGTATGATGCTACCTCCCACCCACAATAGGTAACTCAATCCACCTAGGCTGAGCATGAACAGATGAGAAGAAATCTTCTTTTTGTTACTTGGCCATGTTTACTTTGACACTTCCATCAAGAAACTATTTTTTAGGGTTTATTTTACTAAATTAATCCTTTGAAGATGAGGATAATATTGGGACAAGTGAGGCTTGCTCAAGTGGTTGAGCACCTCCACTATGAATCAGTAGGTTTGAGGGTTTAAGTCATGCAAGAGGGAGTGAGAAAAAAAAATTGAAAAGGAAAAAGGATAGTATAGGAAAAAAATTATAATTTTTTTTATGACAAAGGAAACCCGTAGCCGCTATCCTTTGGGTGCGTACAGGGTAAAACCCCCGCTCCTCTGCAATAGCTCGCAAACCACACAGGAGGGTTAATCCGCACCAGGCAAGCCTTGTGCTACGAGCTCAACCCAGAAGGCAAACCCCTTGCTTTCGCTGGCAAGGGGTTTCAAACTTGAGACCTCCAACATGGAATTCTCAAGCCCAAACCACTGAGCCATTCCGAAGGATAAAAAAAATGATACATTTATCTTGGGAAAAAAATCTATTTTTGGCATAAGATCCAAGTAAAATGCATCCAGTCTCAAATTAGTTGTCATGTTTCGCTTCTTGAGTTAGTTTGATTAATCTTTCAAGCTAAATTGGATAGGATTAATTCATAACTCAAGATAATACTTATGCCGAAACAGGCTGTTAAACTTTTCACATTTTCAATTTGCCTTACTGGATGTGTTCATATGGGACATCACATGAATACTGAACTTCAGTGTTTTCAAATACTGGGGATAGTATTCAATGGGTGAAGCAGGCTCTTAATATTCATATGTTTCATCTTGCCTAACGAACATGTTCTTCTACGATATTACATGATACTAACACTGCTTAATTTATTTTAAGCTTATTTAGCTTAAGTGTCAAAAGGTCTTACATACTTTAAACAAATTTAAGGTACATTTGAAAACTGTAGTTTAAACTTCACACATAATCCTTCTTTTCCATTTTAGGTTGTCTGTGAGTATTGTCAAAACCTTTAAGAAGGCAAAACATTTGATAGTTTGGAGAAGCTCTATTAAAGTAGTATACATAAAGAGCCTACACAAAATATGGTTCTCTACAAATGACAACAATCTGCTCATAAACAAGAACTTATCAGTGCACCAAACACCAAGAATAAGAGGATATTCCTTACATGCAAAAAGTCATATTTTCTTTTACCAAGACACATTCATTTTCTTTATCTCAAAACTCTTCTCTCCTAAAACAAAACTCATGTGATGCCTAAGGCCATATCCCCTTTGGCAAGAGGCAAGTCCTTATCGCCTATTACTAGCGAGGCGATCTTGAAAAGGCGAGTGGCGATGCTGCGAAGCGACAGAGGCGTCACTTCCTTTTTTTTTTATAAAAAAAAGAAGGCCTGATTTAATAATTAAAAGGCAATATTAGGCTTTATTTGGTGTTTTGGACATTACTAGCGAGGCAATCTTGAAAAGGCGTGTGGCGACGCGGCGAGGCAAAAAGGTGAGGCGATAGAGGCATCACTTTTTTTTTTTTTTTTAAAAAAACAGACCTGATTTAATAATTAAAAGGCAATATTAGGGTTTATTTGGTGTTTTGGACATTACTAGCGAGGCAATCTTGAAAAGGCGTGTGGCGACGCGGCGAGGCAAAAAGGTGAGGCGATAGAGGCATCACTTTTTTTTTTTTTTTTAAAAAAACAGACCTGATTTAATAATTAAAAGGCAATCCCTGGGTTTATTTGGTGTTTTGGACAAACACGGCTCTCTTCTCCCTTTTTCTCTCCAGTTCAAATTTGCGACCTTCAGCTACGGGACTTTCAGCTTCTCTCTTCTTCTTCTTTCTTCTTCAGTCCTCTGCTTCGCGACCTCAGCAGGTACGTTTTTCTTCTTCTTCTTCTTCTTCTTCTTCCTGCTGCTGCTGCTGCTGATAAAGTACCAATTTACATATGTAATCCTCCTCTGTCAAATTCTCATCTGTCAAATAATTTTCCCTTGCTGCCAATCAAGCGAAGAAGCACATCTGTCTCTTTCTGGGTGCGTTAGAATCCAAATCAATGTATGCGGAAAGCAAGACTTTCCTCTTACCAAAACTTGTGGTAGTATGACATTAATGAAAACACTCTAGCTCTCCTCACCCCAATCCTGGAATTCATCAACTTCCTAGTAAATTCCTTCTAAATATCATGTCCTGCAGAACTCCTCCTCCTTGTGTCCTCTGAATCTGTTGCACGTTCTTCTTTCTGTCTTGAGATTTTGTATAAGTTGGGAAGGAAATTCCCAATGTGCTCTCTCCACACCACCTGTTGCCCCAAAAACTAACTCTACTTCCAACACTTACCCTTCCAAGTCCTTGATGTAACGATGCCACTGTAAGCTTCCCATCCTTCCGAGATATTCCTCCATAGTCCGCATCCATAAGGTAGCATGTTGTTTTTAGTCACCTATCCCCCTTTTCGTCGATATTTTCTTGCGATCATCCCCTCCCTATAAAGTATGTTCTCAGTTCCTGCTCTCCATATTATTTCCAAGCAAAGCCTTCTTAGCTTTGCCGGTTTGTTGAGAGTGTTGCTTCCTCTAACTAATTCTTCCGACTGGTTCATAAATATAAGAGTAAAGAGTTGATGAAGTTTCATCTTGCATTTCACTTCATTTTTTATTTGTGTTTGTTTCTTATATTTAACATTTTCTAGTGTAGTAGATTGTAAAATTTATTGAAGGAATGAAAGAGAAACAAGATAGTTTGTATAAGTACATCAGATATCACATATCATGAATATTCTCTTACCTTTCGTGTCAGCTCCCGTTTTGCTTGTCAATCATTTCCGAATAATTTGGGACTAGAGAAAAGTGAGAAAACTGAAAAAGTTAAAATTATAGGAAATGCATTAGTCACCTATCAAAGGAGCAGGAACCTATCCATATCTTGATCATAAATTCTCACTAGATATATTTAGTATTTTTACCTTGTTCTGCATTGTTTGTTTTGCAACTTTTGTGTTTTACTATTATGAAGCTTTTTTGGCACCTCTCTGCTATGTTTTGGTTTAAATTCAGTTTAAGAGTGTTGTATTGTGTACTGATGTTACTGAATTTAAGGGAGAAATTTCACACTTCAGGTTATTCTATTGGACAGTGAATAAAAGCCTATCAACTGACAGGTTTTAGTATTTCTTATCAGAAAGGAATTTGCTGCTTGCTTTATCTTTGTGCTGCTTATGGTATTTTTCTCAGCATCTTGGTTTATCATATTGCATCTTGAAGCAGCAGCGCATGAGAGATCAGGATATGTTTCTCTGGACATAGTATCTTCCATATATTATTTACAAATCTGCCAGCTTGATGAACCATATGAATGCTGTGCCCTAGTAATTTCTTCACCCTTATATTCCTCGAGAATATGGTGTTCCCTTCTTGTGACTTCTGTTTGAATGAATCTTCAAAGGAATCTGTTGGATGGTATTTTTGTCCAAGAAGACCTGTTTATTATCCTATATATTGTCATGCGGCTTGGATAATCCATATCCTTTTGATATGGCTGCTAGCAGATATATGTGCTGTAGCAATTTTTTTACCGAGCAAGATGCAAGGATGTCTACTACTTCTGTTGGTTCTATGATATTTGAAGCTCTTCTGGGTAAAAGCTCAAAAAACTGGTATTCTATATCTGTTCATTGTATATGAGAGAAGTAGTTTCTATGGCTCCTTTTGGAACTCACAGGAAGGCAGTATAAATATTTGCTGTTATGTTTCTCTTGTAGTTTGATGTATTGGTAAGATTAACTCCATTATTCATTCTTGGTGATTTAGTTGGTGTGAATTTGATCAATATGTTGAATCAACTACTGGATCCAGTTCAATTAAAAATATAATCTTACCATTGCAGAAATGCGAGATTTTCGTGGTCATGACTTGAGAGAGAAGCTTGATAGAGAGCATTCTCCAGTGGGCAGATACTCCTCTGGTAAAGGGCATTCTCCAGTGGGCAGATACTCCTCTGGTAGAGGGCATTCTCCAGTGGGTAGATACTCCTCTGATAGAGGGCATTCTCCAGTGGGCAGATACTCTTCTGAAAGAGGGCATTCTCCAGTGGGCAGATACTCTTCTGATAGAGGTGCAAGAGAGAGACATGCATCCCGTGGTCAGAGCTTGTTTCTTTCACTTTCACTTTGCTGTCGTTGTCGGATCTTTATAGACTTATTTACTCTTGCTCATCTGCTGAAAGGATTAGTCGAGTGATTAAGAGTACTCATTCCATGGAAACATACTTGCTGGAGGTCCTTATTTCTGTCAGGGGATCATGTGAATTTGTTGGCTAGATGTAGCCATTGTTTCACATAGATTAGGGGCTACTATATTCTCTGGTTCTCTTTCTTGTCCTTCCTTCATGGTTTTGTCCATTCATATAATATTTCCTTTTGATTTATTTTTCAGGGCGCAGTCCTCCTGAGTCTGTTGAGAGGAGGTAAGTTTATCAATATCTTGTGTATACTTCATTTTAGGACTTAGTGATACATAATATACAGGTCTTTGTTGACAAATTACATACTCAGGCTTTAGATGGAAATCTTGAACCGACTTCAGGTCACTTAGAAATTAGTTGGGAGCTGATCGAGCTTGAATCCATTTCCTTATGATTTATGTTAGTTATGTAAACCTTAATTGCTACTTAAAATGGAATTTATTCTGTCTCCAGTTAGACAATTTTATCTTGTAGCATATGCTATATTCCATTTGTGGTAATTGTTTCAATACAGTTAATAAGATCACTGTAAGAAGACCTAAGGTGTCCCTTATTTAATTAATTAAGGGAAATCTCTCAGCAGCTCCCTAAGGGAGAATATTTACAAGCAAAGAGGTTAGCAAAGAGGTTAATTGGCTCTTCCCAAAATCTTGAGATTTCTAAACCCCTTTAGAGAGCATCATTGGACAATTAGTAATTTGGTATGCTTTTCATGATAAAGACAATTTGCTAACTTTCAGATGGTTAATCTAAATTCTTTAATCCTTCTTTTACCTTTACCTGATACTCTGTCCATAATTATAATGTTCGAATAATGTCTGTCAAAAAAAATAATTCATTATGTTCTAGTAACATCAGAAAAATGGTATATTGCAGTGATAGAAAGCGCAGGATGAAACATCATTCGGATGGTCAAAGTGACATCTCTGGAAGTTTGAACATGTCAGATGGGACAGGAGATCACGTGAAGGAGAAAAAACATTTATCGTCCAATTCCAAAGATGTCCTTCAGGTACTGGGAGTGGAGAAGAACTTTGTTGTCCTAGTTCGCGAATGGCGTTGTTCATCAGCCCTTCTTTTGCCTGCTCTTTCTTACCTCCTCGTTATATATATATATATATATATA